TCTCCTAATATTATTGCCTAATACTCGTCTTTTCCCAAAATCAAATACATAATCACAGTTTGTTGAACTTTCAATTTAAAGAAATGAATTAAATATTTATTTGCCCATCTTCTAAAATGTTTACCTAAAATCCTTCCTTCCCTAAAATAAATAATTAAAAAAAAAGATCAATTCAAATCTGTTCATATAATTTTTGAATTAAAAAAATAAATAAAGAATTTTTTTTTTTAAAATTTTAAAAATAAATAAATAAAATCTCTTCAAACACATCTCTAAGATAATTGCCTAAATTCATCCTTTCCTACAATCAAATACACACAGTTTGTTGATCTTCCAATTTAAAGAAATGAATTAACTAATTATTTGCCCATCTTCTAAAATCTTTACATAAAATCCTTCATTCCCTAAAATAAATCAAAGAAAGATCAATTCAAATCTGTTCATATAATTTTCGAATTAAAAAAAAAAATAAATAAAATTTCTTCATAAACTTCTGACATCTTTACCTAAAATAAAATAATAATAAAAAGATCAATTCAAATTGATCACGGCCTAAAATCAAATTTTCAATTTAAAAAAATAATTATTATTCATGTGTCTTACATAATATCTGAATTAAACAAATAAATAAACAAAATCTCCTCAAACTAATATTTGAGCGTTCTAATCTCTCAAACTAATTTTCATAATTTTTTTATTTAAAAATTGAAAATAAAAACTGAATTGGTTAGCCTGTCAAGAAATAAATTTTAAAATTCAAAATTATGAAAACTATCCCATAATTTTTGGGTTTTAAAAGGAGAGAATCACTCAAATATAGAATAGGAAAACATAAAATTTTGCCTTTCCATTTTTTAATTTTTCTGAAGTAAATATTTTTAAAATTTGAAATTATATTATACTAAAGTTATATTTGGAATTTCCTTTAAATGTTCTTAACTTTCAAATTAATTAGATGGCTAAATTTTATTTTTGACATTTTAGTTTAAGATTTTTAATTTTCAAAATTATAGATATTGTTAGATGGACTAATATTTCTATGTCATGTGTATTTACTAAAATTTAAAAATTAAAAATTTAGATTAATGTTTTAGAGCTAATAGAGCATTTTCGATGAAAAATCCTTATAGTTTTCTATCCCAAAACAATGCAATGTTGTAAGAATCAGTTCAAATCAGTAATAGTATGGGATATATACAAAGCAAAACAAAGTCAACAATAAAAAAAATTAATTTAAATTTAATTTCTAATCCAAACATATTAAATAGAAGAAAAACGTACATAGATTTACTACTTGCATGGTAGCCTTACAATCTTGAGAGCCTTACAACCTTGAGTTTACTTTCTTTGGTGCGTAGGTTTGGATAAAAAAAAAAAAGGAATAAATAAAGAAATAATCAAAATGAATGTAGCATAGGAAGAGGGAAAGAGGGAGAGAATACTTACAATTTAATGAATGAGTACTTGAAAAGATAATTAGATTAATCGACAACAATACATATCAATCACATTTGCACACAAACTCCCAAGCCATTTATTCGTGATGGGTGTTCCTCATTATAGTTTTCAACTTTATTGTGTTGTGTGCTCACAATAGCTCAATAACCTATGGAAACTTGGAATGTGGAATTGAAGAAGAGGAAAGAAAATGTAAAAGAAACGTAAATGCGATAGGGGAGGAAAGAAGGGTGATTTGAAAGAGTTTAAAGGGATTGTGCCTTTGTTTGGAATAATTTTTTTTATAAAATTCGAAAAGTCAAAACAAATAAGGATAGAGTCGGAGGAGTATGCCAGGTGTACGGGGAGGAGAAGAGGAAAGAAAATGTAAAAGAAACGTAAATGCGATAGGGGAGGAAAGAAGGGTGATTTGAAAGAGTTTAAAGGGATTGTGCCTTTGTTTGGAATAATTTTTTTTATAAAATTCGAAAAGTCAAAACAAATAAGGATAGAGTCGGAGGAGTATGCCAGGTAACAAATAAAGGAAATTTATAATTATTAAAGTTCAGAAAAATTAGTTTGAGACTTTAGAAGCATTAGAATTATTCATATTAGAAAATCCTATTTTACTTGTATAATAGATAGATAGATAGATAGATAGATAGATAGTGCCGTTTTGGGAAAAAGCCAAAAACGCAAGCGTTTTGTTGATTTAAAGAAAAAGCTGGGCAGCTGAAAATGCAATTTGTTGCATTTGGGATGTGACAAAAATGTTGCCTTGTGAAATTACCTAAATACCCTCCATGTTAACAAATTACCTAAAATTCCAAAGTTTGGCAAGGATATTTTGGTCATTTTATTTTGATTTGATGCCATAAATAAGTATTAACCCAAAAAGTCAAAAGCTAACTTTTTACTAACTTCCCAAATCACTTTTTAAAAAAGCTAAAAGGCTTAGTAAAAAGTCAAAAGTCAGTTTTTTAACAACTTCCCAAAACACCTCATAGATAGATATGTGTGTGTAAAAAATATGAAATTTTATATGGAAGTTGATATTTTTTTTAAGGTGATTATGAATTCATTAGAGCAAATTGTGCAAAATTAATAAATTTCAACATTTGGGCTTAGCTAATTTTGTTAATTTCAAAATTATTCGAAATTTACACATTGTATTCCTTACCTACAATACTTATTTATATAACATTGTAAACAATCACTATGTTTTGTTTCAATTTTTTAAAAATTGAGTTTTTTTTTTTATTTTTCTTGTTTTTTATTTTTAGTGAATATTTTTTAAATCTTAAGAATTTTTTTTACTTTTTTATATGTACCTTACTTAGATGTATCTAAAAAGTAAAATATTTGTAAAAAACTATTTAAAAAAATCAATAAATACATAAGAATATAAAAATGTGTTGAATTCTCTCTTCTTCTTCTTTTTTGTATTTTTGGTATTTATTAAAGTTTTTTTTTCAAAAATATTATACTTTTTGTGGGGACATATTTTTTGAATACCAACACGTGGCATGTTACTTAGATGTATCTAAAAAGTAAAATATTTGTAAAAAACTATTTAAAAAAATCAATAAATACATAAGAATATAAAAATGTGTTGAATTCTCTCTTCTTCTTCTTTTTTGTATTTTTGGTATTTATTAAAGTTTTTTTTTTAAAAATATTATACTTTTTAAGTATATTTATGTAGGTGTATGTAAAAATAAAAATAAAAATTGCTTAAAATATTAAAAAAACTCAGTGAAAATAAAAAAAATATGAAAAATAAAAATTTTCAATTTTTTAAAAAGTGAATCCTAAATCTTAAGGGCAAATTACATATACACCCCTCGAGATTTGGGTAAATTACAGATACCCCCTGAGGTTTCGGAAATTACATCCCGCCCCCTGAGGTTTGTATTTTCATAACAATTCTTTTCTTTTCTGTTACAGGTTGCTGGAGCCATCTATTCTGCCGGTGCTTAGCTGCTGATCACTAAACGGGCAGTGTGGTCAGATTTTTACCCACACAATTTTTAAGTATATTTATGTAGGTGTATGTAAAAATAAAAATAAAAATTGCTTAAAATATTAAAAAAACTCAGTGAAAATAAAAAAAAATATGAAAAATAAAAATTTTCAATTTTTTAAAAAGTGAATCCTAAATCTTAAAACCAAACGTGCTGAATATTTCTCATAACATGATGTTTTCCCTAATAGTTTTGATTGTTATCTTAATTTCATAAATTATAAATTGATATATTTTTTTGCACAATATAAAAATAATATGAAGTTTGTTTAACAAGTATAAATTTCACGTATAACATTGGTTACACCGAATACAAGTTACCACAAAAAAATGCAAAAACTCATTTTAAATTATAAGATCCCGTGTATAGCATGGGTTACTATTAATTTATTTATAATGGGAGTGTGGTCTATTTCACATCATTAAGAATGAATTAGAGATACTCAATTGGAGCTCTTAAGTATTTTTCATTATAATATAAAAAATTTGAAAGTAAGTCACACAAAAACCAAACATTGAGGGATGTTTTGAGAAATTGGTAAAAAGTTGACTTTTGATTTTTTTAGTCTATTTTGTCTTTTTGTGAGTAAAAAATGTGAGAGGTAATGTAACCCAAAATAGATAAAAAAACTAAAAATTGGCTTTTTACTTGCTTCCCAAAAGACCCGAATGAGACATAATCCTTTTAAAAAGGGTAGAGCCTACATGTGACCCACATGTGGAACTCACCCTTTGTGAGAGGGTTATGTCCCATTTTGTGAATAATTTTTATGTTCCTATCCTTACTTAAAATTTAAATATAATGTGGGTGTTTAGGAAGTGAGTTTTTTTTGTAAGTTTTTTTAGTGGTAAGATATTATTGGAGAATTTTTTTTTGTGTTTGGAAAGATAGTTAGGTTTTTTTGTGATTGGATGTGATGTTTGTGGAAGAAAAAATGAAATGATTATGGAGTTTAATGTGATATTTTATTTGGATTTGTTTTTTTTAGTTTTGTAAAACATTTGTCTTGTTGTGAAAAAAAAAAACCCAAAAACCAAGTTTTCAAAAACACCCATGCAATATTTTTGATTGTTTGGGATGACCTAAATAAGTACGCTTTTTATCTTTTTACAAAAAGATATGTAAAAAAGTAGAGAAGTAATGTGATGAAAAAAAGATAAAAATATAAAAAGATGAATTATTTTAGAGTTGCCAAACTTGACCTTACTTATGATCTGCATTAATTTTTATTATTTTACCCTTGCTAAAAACAAATAAGTGTAAGTATTTTAAAAGTACGAAATTAACAGTATTTTAATTTTTTTTTTCTAACTTTCAGTGGAATATACTCAAATAACAAAAACAAAAACCAAGCTGTCAGTGGATAATGTAAACCAGCAGAATTCAAATAAATAAAAAAATAAGCCTCCAAAAAGAAAGTAAACAAATATATATTTCTTTATTATTATTATTAATAATGATATGATAATGATATGAATTGAATTGAATGGTGTTTGCATACGTTTTTATTTGTTTGGTGGGGTGGATTAGATTCGACCGTTAGCAACTAAAAATGATCCGTTACCAAAGTGTTGTTCCGTTCATGTCCACCAACATGAACCCACTTCGGAGACACAGTGAGAGAGAGTTCCAGAGAGAGAGGAGAGTGGGCAAATTTCATTTCCCCAAAACCCACTTTTTTGGGTTGATTTGATTTTGAATCTGTGTGAAGGATAAAAATGGTAGCAAAAACCCCACCAAAGCAGAGGAAAATGGTGGCTCCTCTCAACCCCACTCTTCTCAGAGACACGGTTGACAAGGTACCCTCCTCCCCATCTCTCTCTCTAGAACTATTTCTTTGTCTTATTTGTTATTCCATGGTTGATTTGGGTTGGTTTTAGATTAGTATTGTTGATGGGTTTTCTTATTCCTTTCTCTGTGATTTAACTGAAATTTTAGAAGCTCTCTGTTTGTCTCACCATCTCTCATCAAACACACACACACAAACATTTTGGGGATTTTCTCATGCCTCTTTTTGTAAATGGGTTTTATTGGATTTTTAGAACCTCTTTCTCTCACCATCCCTCGTGAACGCACAGATTCTCTGTAAGAAATGAAGGATCTTTAACATTTTTGGTTTTTTTTTTTTTTAAAAAAAAAAAAAAATTAGTGCATATGGGTTTTCTTATTGAAAGATTTATGAAATGATTTGGAAGGTGAAAAGAAAAAAATAGATAAAATATGAATAAAATATATCGATTATGCTACGTAGCTCGAAATTTTGAGCTCGAATTTGGCTCGAAATTAAAACGACGTCGTTTTGGAATGGTAATTTCGTTTTACGAGAGGAATATTTAATGAAAATTATCTTACCGGTAAGAGAATTTTCATATGGGTAATGCTAGGGATACCAAATTTTCTACCAAACAAATGACCAAATGTCTCACATGGGTGTGGGGTCCGCAATTTTGTGAGCCCTACACCCATGTGAGACATTTGGTCATTTATTTGGTAGAAAATTTGGGACCTCTAGCATTTTCCTTTTCATATATCTTACCGGTAAGAGAATCCAAAACGACGTCGTTTTGAGTTTCAAGCCAATTCGAGCCAACTATTTTCGAGGTACCAAACATTTTCCAAAATATATATACATTTTTACTAGTTTCACACCTTTTTTTTCTTTTACTTTCTAAATCACTTTTCAAATTTCTCAACCAAACATAGTTTGGTTTGCAATGAAATGACAATTCCGTAAGTCCATTTTCATGTTTGATTCGCTAAAAAAACAGATAAAAAAAAATTAAATTATAAATAAAATTATCATTCACCATTTTAAAATTATCATTCACCATTTTAAACAATCTCATGAACACACAAACATTATTGTATGGTATAGAGAATTGAAGGGTGTTTTAACATTTTTGGGAATGTTGTATTTTTGAAGGTGGATAAGTGTATGGAAAGATTGCAAGAGCTTCAATACACAGTGTCAGGTGGGAAGAAGGTGATATCAGGTGTGAGCCTCAGTCCTCGCAGTACCAGAGGTTACCTGAGGACTAGCCTCAGGTGCAAACAAGAGTCTTTGAGGTAAAGAAAGCTTCAAACTTTTTTTAATTCTCTGATTTTTTATTATCAGAAAGTTTCTAACTCTTTTTTTTTTTTTTGGATTTAATTACATGTATATATATGCACATTGAAATGGGTTTTCTTTGATTTTCCTTTGCAATTTGAAGGATCAAGAATGCTAACTCTCGGAAATCATCTCCACCAGGGAAGTTGCCAACAAATACAGGTCTGAAATCTACAATCGAAACAGTTTGAGAGGTTTTTTTATAAGGAAAAAAAATATTTGAAGCAATTTTGTGTTACATGACTGTTTTTATGTAAGTCTTTGAAAAGAAAAAAAAAAATTGTTACATGTTTATCGACTTCTACTATACAATGTAGGGGATATTAAAATTAATGCCACACATTTTATTTTTTTTTCTAATATAATTGTAACAGTTACTTAAATTATTAATTTGGAATATGAATTTTACAAGTTTGGTCTTTTGAACAATTTTAAAAGTGGAATATTTTTTTTGTTATTAAACCACTCTTAATGATGTGTTTGACCAATGTTAAATTTTAATTTGTCAAACATTCTAATCTCAATATCACATTATTAGGGATAATTTAGATTTGATAAATTAGAAAATGTAGCATTTTTGTCATAATTATTATTATTTTGGAATAAATGTTGACAAAATTTCAAGGGGAAGTTGTAAGACAAAAGAAAAAAATAGTTTAGATTTGATAAATTATAAAATGTAGCATATTTGTTATAATTATTATTATTTTGGAATAAACGGCGACAAAGTTTCAAGGGAAAGTTGTATGGCAAAACGAAAAATTGCGAAGTCATGAAAAAAATTATAATTTCAATTATTAAAATTGGTAAGTTGTTGTTGTTGTTTTTGTTCTTCTTCTTTTTTTTTTTTTTTTTTTTTTTTTTTTTTTTTTTTTAAACGGAGTATTCAGGCCCGCTTAACAGTGTAATTAATTATTAAAATTGATAAGTTTTATTATTAATTTGTAATTTATTTTAAAAACATGCAATTATTTATAATCCTCCCAAGTTTCAAAAAAGGTTTTAAACCCAAATTAAACTTCTATGACGCCATTACGACATAATTGATCAAATTTGAGTTTTGATTTGGAAATTCTTCTACATTTTAGTTAAAATATATATATATATATATATTCTTGATCTTTACTTAAAGTATAGATTGTCTCATGTGATTTAAAAAATTACAAATATTTCTTTATCAAAATTTTTTACTTAACAGAATTAACTAAAAAAATGAAATTTTTAATTACTCCTATACAATTTATTAATTGAAACGTATTTCTAACATCATTAAAAACGGTTAATTGACTTGATAATTTATTAATAAAATAGACGATTTATTATGAAATTAGAAATCTCATATGGGTGAAATGTACTTTCCATAATCACAGAAGTTATTTGTATTTTAATCAAATCTCGATGCTGTATTTATAATTTATCCAAAAAAATTAAGATTTAATTTATCAAAGTCAAATTCTAAAATTATTTTTATAATTTTTCAAAAAATAAAAAAGTCATGAGGAAGATTTTAGAGCACTGAATAATTTCTCTACACAGGGGAATGGCGGCGAATGTCGTTGCCGGCGATGCTCGTCGGAGAAACAGTCGGAGAAATTCTACAAGCAAGTCTATTCGCCAGACAAATACTCACATCCGTCTCTTCCAAATCCTCCTCCGACAACCCCAAAACTCCGGTGAATCTCCGGCGACAGCAAAACCAGACTCAACCAAACCCTAAAACCTCCGATCAACTTCGATCTCGAAGAAACAGAGAGAAACAAGTCAAATTGCAATCGATCCGATTGGAATCTGACTCTCCCTCCCTCCAAAGAGCTCGATCTCGCATCAATTTCAAGCAGCCTTTCCCGGAAAACGAGAAGGAAAATGTACGCTACTCTGCGAACAGAGTGTCTCCGAGGAATCGGCCTTGGGCGAGGAAGACTGTGCTATTTCCGAATCCATTGTTTCATTCATCGCCGCCTAAAAATCATCACAAGTTCTGCAAGACGAAGTCTCCGCACAAGTTCTTGATCAGAACTAGGTCTCCGCCGCCGCTTTCTCTTTCTCTCCCCCCCACCAGATCTACGAGCTTGAGCAAGAAGAATGCTTTGAAGCCTTCGTCATCAACTGCTGCGAAGCTACGCAGATCGTTTTCGCCTTCGAGATTGGCGAATAGATTGGTGTCGCCATTGAAGAGCAGCAAGACTGTGCAGAGGAGTGATGATGGGCTAGTGATTCGTTCCGATTCGACTCCCATGCGATTCAATGCTCGGAGAATATGAAAGGTTCATCTTCTTTTTTCATCGTGTTAATTCTCTGTTTGTTTGGAGATTGAATTGATTCTATTTTCTTGTCTGTTTTTTGTGGTATTTTCTCTCAATGTCCATTGTTGATTGTTTTTATTTTTTCTTTACTTTTGATATGTAATTATGAGGTATTCAATCAATAATAAGATTTTCTTGTGCAATGATGCATTTGAAATTACAAATTTGGTGGCAAAGTCAATGGAGGAAAGAGTCTTGTGTTTGGTAAGATTTGAATTCTTGATTTCTTAAAGTGCAAATGTTTTGGTTGAGATGCAAATGAGCTGAAGTTGAGTTGTTTGATTGTTTAAGTTTAGTTTTCAAACCCATCCCAAATGCATTTTAATCAAATCAAGCTTGAATAGTTTGATTTTTATAGTGTATATATAAACTTATTGAACTGAATTCGAGCTAAACTCAGAAAATTGATGAACTAGTTTACATAAAATAAGACAAAACTCATGAGCTTATTATCTTAGGTTGGAACAAGTTGTGGCAACATAGGGGCAAAAAAAGTAAAGAGAGGGATGGGATTTCTCACTTTTGGCATAGCAGCCCTTAGTGGGAGGCTCGCACAACAAACTATTTCCCTTATCGAGAATGATCTTCGTTTAGCCAATTTTTCAGCCTCTTGTCATGTGATTGCACAAAGTGAAGAGTCCAGCCTTCCTTGTAGCTTTTGAGTGAGTACTAATGGAGTTACATATATCTGACATTCTTTTTCCTTTTTCCATTCTTTTTAGTTTCTTTTTTCTTCAGAGTAGGGGCAGGCAAGAGATGATACATGAACAATAGTAGATTTAATCTTCTGCCTCCAAAGAACCAAAAGAGAGAAAAAAAGAAACAAAAGAATGAGCAAGAAGATTTTCCAACGCCCGTAAGGTGAACTACCTTCCTTGTAGCTCTCTCTCCACGTTCTTATCCTTGCTAGGGTTGGATCATCTTGTAGGGTGAGCTCGCAATACGATTGTAGCCTCTTTGGAAGGGCATTGTAGACTTGCAACCACCTCCGGTGAGCTGAGGTGCTAGCAAACCGATGAAGCCCTGGTATGTCCCAATTACAGTCGTGTTCTGTTTGGCACATCCATGGCTTAATGCCCAAGTAATGCATGGCATAGGCATTTCTAGGCATCTCATGGTTTTTGTTGTCTGCCCCATCAAACAATGTAAGGCTATTTAGCCTTGAAGGCCATCGATGCCACCATGTAAACATCTCATTAAGAAAACCCTGATCAGTTGCATCATATGAAGCCACTTGGGACATTTTTTCCATTAGGGTTTCAAATGTACACTTGGATGGCTCAACCAGCATGATCCCAGAATTGAATACAAAATCATCCTCTCCAACTGCTGAAAATTGTGGGTAAACAAAGAACTCGTCGATGTTTTCGAGAACTATGAAGTCAGCATCTATACATATGATTTTATCATACTCTGTGAGTTCCCATACGCGAAGCTTGCTGTAGTTCCACTCGCTATAGATCTTTCTTTTTGAATCTGGGCTCCGGATGCGTTTAGTGTGCTTGATCTTCCATCCTGCCGCTCTTAGACCTTGTAAGGACGACTTAGATATAGAGTCATCAGCGAGCAAGACTAGATCTTTGGTAGTGTTGGTTTGAATTATGCTTTGGGCCAAAGCTATTGCACCACAAACAAAGGAATTTGAAGAATGAAGGACTGTCACATAGGCCTCTCTTGGTTTAAATATAGTGTTATTGGGTACCGAGAGCTCACATTTTCTCCACATTTCTTCACCTACATTTCAACCAACTAAAATTATAACCCTGCTATTAAAAAGAGGGGGAACAAAAGAAAAGAAAAAGAAAGTAGAGATGATATGCAAAAAAAATTATGAAATTTGATGAAAAATAAAGATGAGATGAGGGGGGAAAAAAGTATGAGAAAATATAGTGTTATTGGGTATTGAGAGCTCACATTTTCTCCACATTTCTTCACCTACATTTTAACCAACTAAAATTATAACCCTGCTATTAAAAAAAGGGGGAACAAAAGAAAAGAAAAGGAAAGTAGAGATGATATGCAAAAAAAATTATGAAATTTGATGAAAAATAAAGATGAGATGAGGGGGGGAAAATGTATGAGAAAATATAGTGTTATTGGGTATTGAGAGCTCACATTTTCTCCACATTTCTTCACCTACATTTCAACCAACTAAAATTATAACCCTGCTATTAAAAAAAGGGGGAACAAAAGAAAAGAAAAAGAAAGTAGAGATGATATGCAAAAAAAATTATGAAATTTGATGAAAAATAAAGATGAGATGAGGGGGGAAAAAAGTACAAGAAAATTTGACCATAGTATGCTTTTATTTAGAAGAAAAAAGTTTGTGTTTTTGACCAGCATTTTGCCAACATGGAATGCCTATTTTTCTTTTTGACAAGAAAGAAACTTTAAAAGATCACTACTCAAAACAAAGACGACCAAATCTCAAATTCTTACTGCTTTGCTTTTAGGTTTGATCAATAAAAAATCTTATTCCAAATTTTGTTATATAAGTGATAACTTACTATGTAATGAATACATGGATTCATAAGAAAGTGAAAACTATTGGATGAAGTCTTGTGATCTTCCACCATGTCATGACATAAAAATATCACGAGGTTTAAGATCTCTCTTAACTACTAAATTTGCCTATTATTATACGACATAAATATGTTTCCTAGCATTTTTTTTAACAAAACATTGGCAAATTTTTATGATTGTTTGAAAATGTTGATTTAAATTGGTGAATTTGATGACAAACTAGGCCTGTAAACAGCACAATGAAATGAAATTTTGCTTCCAAATCCTTGTTCTAGACAAAGGTTTGTCAGCTTTTTCTTCTTTAATTTCATGAACTTCCATTTGCTTTTCAATTTGTAGGTTTTCTTAATGAACACAACATTGCGACAAGAGATCACCAAAATAGATTGAAACTCACCTGGTTCTTCGTAAGGAGGAGCAACCTGGCATGTCCCAACAGGCATGAGCACCTTCTGTTTTAATTTTCTCAAATTTGGCCTATAAACAAAAAAATTGTCTTCATGCATTAAGAGATCCTCGCATCTAAATATTTCACGCATGGGTCCACAAGAACTGATAAACACAGCATACACCGTTCGATCAAGTTGATGATTGTCATTCTTCCATCCACTCCTTACCAACAGATTAGCAACCACTAAGTTAAGTTGTAACCTAAACACATCCTTAATACCTTCCCTCTCCGCCCATTTTTTACATGGAACCCTAGCTACAACCACGTTGAGCCCATGATAATCCTCAAATTTCGGCATTGGGATTTCTGGGCACAATGGTCGGCCTTTTTTCTCATCTTCATCAATCCATTTAGGGAAGAAGTCTGACCATTGGCTATCCTTGCCCACACGATCAAAACGTACTGTTACTGTCTCTGCCTTTGGTAATCCAGGCATTTGATAATTTTCACCAACTTCGTACTCCATATTAACCAAACCAATCCTCACCTTTTTCCCTTCCATTTCTTTCATGAGGACATTGTACCATTTTGATTGGAGTTGGTGAGTGTCGTTTTGATTAGGCTTTGGCTGGAACTTTTTGTTTAGGAGTAGAAGGGTTAGGGAGATAAAAATTAGAGTGAGAATGGAGGGTATTAACTTAGAACCAAATGGCTCCAGAGCCATTCTAGAGGGTTAGAGAGAGAGAGAGAAAAGCTTAGGATGAATCACATAATTTTTTTTCTTGGCATTGTAGGCAGGGCATGGATTTCATGCCATGAAACATAGCCTTCTTTATCCTTTCCTTTGTTTTTTCTTTTTATTTTTTATTTTTTATTTTAAATTTCTTGTTTTGAAATATCATATCTTTTAACACATTCAAGGCCATATTTGATGATTTGAAGTCATTAAAAGCTTTAAATATGAGTAAACCCTAATCTGTTACTATCAAAATCAGTATGTTTCAAACTTCATTTTCCCTCTTGAATGTTATTTATGATTTTTTTTTTTGTAACCTAAACAAACCATCATATACACAATATTATGTTAGTAAATATTAGTAACCTCCTACTCTAATATTATTACTACCACTAGTAACTATCCCTAACTTCATATTTTTTTAAACACATGCATCAATATGAAAGAGCAAAATGTCGAAAAACTAAATTGCTTTTTGCTTCCAAAATGCAAGAATTTGATTTTTTTTCATGTCATTGGAAGGATGAACTCCATTTATTTTTTCGTCGATCTCATTTTAAAGATTTTTGCCTTTGACTTTCTGATGTAGAGTAGCATGTAGGAAATGGATTCAATGAACTAGTTAGGAACAGCTAGTTGTACCTGTTAATACTCTGTGAATAGTAAGAAGATTTTTTCAATTTGTTGACTTTCTAGAAATAGAGGCTTTCAAATAAAGGATACCCTCTTTGTATTATCATTCAACCAAAATAGATTTGTCATAGCCTACAACTCTTATTTATAATAAAGAAAGAGCTAATTCTATTAGGAAACATCTAAACTAATCCAATTTGCTTGTTAAACACAAAATAATAAATAAAAGCATTTAAAGTCCTCTACTTTTTTTGTCATAAATTGACAAGGGGAAGAAAAAAGCAAAAAGGAACAAAAAGAAATTCTCAACAGAATTTTGAAGATAAAACCAATAAGATCTATGCAGAAGAACAAGTAGTTCCAAAACCTTACACATTATTAGAATTAGTAGTCACACTCCTAAGTCTAGTGAGTAATTGTGTGAAGAATGAATGCAACATGGTTTCAAAAGTCATCAAGAATTAAAAATAGACTAGTCATGACAAATCCTAGACTTAATCATTGAAGCGAGACAGACCGATTAGTTTATATATCACATCTTCGAGCATTCCCATCTCTTTAATCTGATTAAATTCTTAACCACCTATTCGTCTAAAAAAGTTTAAGTTGTTAGAGAGGGAAGTAATTTTACTTTATATACTCAACAAGTCTAAACGCCCATTTTTTTAAAACTCCAAATCCATATTAACTATTGAATGTAGACATGTGAAATTCCTTTCGTAAAACATTTGTGATTTTAGCTATCCAACACATGAGCTACGTTTTATGTTCAATTTTTTAGGCATATATGATTACCAAAGCACATTGAGCATGAGCATACTCTAGTGTCTCAATAACAAAATTCAAAACAGTTTTTCTTTTGCACAGTTTTCATCTATTCACACTTACCGAGGAATTCACAATTTATCCCATTCACTAAGTGGTTCACTTCAAGAGGTGAGCGATCTAATCATGGGTCTTCTGCAATTATAATCTGGTTTTGGACTTGATGTGAACAACATATACTTGAAATTTCAAAATCAATCTCAAACCAATTGTGAATGCCTCATCTACAAAATTTTTATCTCAAACCATAGCAACATACATATGTCAGGAGATCATCTACACGAGTAAGCTTAATCTATTGTGTGAGGATTTGCTCTTCAATCTCCTTGTCTGAGTCTCAGTTCATCAGTGGATGCCTTCAATTTACGTTTAACATCTTTGCCTAGCCTCATGTGTGGCTCAGTAGAATTCTAAAGCTACTTCATATCCTGTCAACTGATAGTTTTCTTTCTTTGTTTGGGTTAAGTGTATATGTGGTAGCTTCATGCTATTTCCATAATGACGCTTTTATCTATTTATACATTCTCTCCATTCCTTTTTGCAATGTTTTTATTATGATTAGTTATTATTGTTATTTTTAGATTTAAAAAAACCCTTCTCCTATAGGGAACTCCCATGAGTCTCTAGCTGAGAGTTGGAAATTATGGTGTAGTTGAAGAGCTGGTTGGTGAATGCCTCTAAGGGCTTGTCATTTAAGGCCTTCAAGAAGTTGGAGAGACCCCTAGGATGTGAAGACACTAGAATAGAGTTTGTAACACTAGGAAAGATGACACATAGTGAATCCAAGTTTTCTTCTCCTCTTAGTTGTCGATACTTGAGAGAGAGATATGGCACACTTCACGCAATCAATTAACCAAATATGTATCTTATCTCTTTTCCAATGCGTAGTTTTCCAGCAATCAATTAACCAAATATTTCAGACCAATTTTTTTTCAGTGTCTCTAATGAATCCTTCTTTTCCTTTTCAACCCTTACAAAAGATGATCTATGATTAGTAATTTTTTCCTGCATTTTGTCACGTGATTGCCACAATTTGAGTCCTTCCATCCCATCTTTCTTGTAGCTTGTGTCACAACTACGGAGTTATATCATTATCATGACATTCTCCTTCTATTACCTTCTCTTTTCTTCAAACCACGGGCACGCAAGGGATGATACATGAATCATAGGTCCGTATCAGATGTAAGCTTCTGTCATTGAAGAGAAAAAAGAGTAAAAAAAATAAATAAAAGAAAAATAATAATCGAGTAGATTTTCCAATCCCCAGGAAGTGATGAACTAGCATCCTTGTAGTCCTCAATCATGATTAGGCAAGAGATGATATACACGAACAATAGTTGATTTTAAGTTTTTTGCTACTGAAGAGCAAAAAGTGAGAAAAAAATAAATAAAAGAACGAAAAAAATAGGTTTTCCAATGCCCATGAACGAAACTAGCATCCTCCTAATGCCCATGAACCGAACTAAATCCTTGTAAAGCTGTCTCCACTTTCTTATTCTTGAAATGCTTGGATCATCTTGTATGGTGAGCTCACAATACGATTGTAGCTTCTTTGGCAAGGCCTTGTAGAGTTGCAACCACCTCTAGTGAGCCAAGTCACTAGCAAATACGAAGTCCCGGTATGTCCCAATTACAGTCGTAATTTGTTTGGCACATCCATGGCTTAATGAGCAAGTAATTTATTGCATAGAGATTTCCAAGCATCTCATGACTTTTGTTGTCCACCCCATCAAATATTTTAAGGTGATTTCGTCTTGATGGCAACCGATGCCACCATGCAAACATGTCATTAAGAAAACCCTGATTACCAGCATCATATGAAGTCACTTTGGACATTTTTTCCATTAGGCAAATGACACTTGGATGGCTCGACCAACATGACACCAGCATTGAATACAAAACCAACATCTTGAACAGCTGACAATTGTGGGTAAACAAAGAACTCGTCAATGTTTTCAAAAACTAAGATGTCAGCATCTATGTATATGATTTCAAACATGAAGCTTGCTATAACTCCATTCACTGTAGAACTTTCTTTCCACGTGGGGGCTTTGGATTCGTCCGATTTGCTTGATGATCTTCCATCCTGCAGCTGTTAGACCTTGTAAGAATTTCTTAGATATGGAAGTGTTGGTTTGAATGATGCTTTGAGCCAAAGCTATTGCATCACAAAGAAAGGAATTTGAATGAAGGAGAGTCACATAGGCCTCTCTTGATTTCCATAAGAGTGTCGTTATTGGTTTTGGAGAGTTCACATGTTCTCATTCCTCAATCACCTACATTTCAACCAACTAAATTTATAACATTGGAATCTTAGAAAAAAAATATGAAATAATGAGAGAGTAGATTCATGCAACAATTTAAACAAAATTTGATGAAAATTATAATCTTTAGGGAAAAAACGTAAAAGAAAAATCGAACTATATATTTCTTTAAAGTTGTAAAATATTAATAAATGTGTGCTTGGCCAACATTTCAATTGCTTTGCTTTTAGGTTTGATGAATAAAAAAAACTTAGTCCAAACTTTGTTATATAATTAGTAACATGAATGCATGGATTTTAATGAAAATGAAACTCGAGGCATGTCCCAACAGGCATGAGAACTTTCTGTTTTAACTTCTTCAAACATGACCTGTAAATAAAAAAATCATCGTCATACATGAAGAGATCCTTGAATGTTAATATTTCATGCATAGGTGCACAAGAACTGATAAACACAGTGTCCACTGTCTGATCAACTTGATGACTGTGATTCTTCCATCCACTCTTCCAGTTGAGATTCTCTCCTTAGACTCTCTCCTTGCCTCCTTACTTGTAACGGTAGAGATACACTTTAAGTTGATCCAACGGTTTAGATTTTTAGCTATTTAAAAATAAAAAAATAATAAATCAAATTCAAAATTGCTTTTCCCGTCCAAATCTAGACCTTTAGATCAACTCAAAGTGTATCTCTACCATTGCAAGTAGGGAGAGAAGGAGAGAGTCCAAGGAGAGGATCTCAACTCCCACTGTTCACCAATAGATTAGCAACCACTAAGTTAATTTGTAATCTAAACACAAACCTTAGCACCTCTCCTTTCCCCTCTTTTGCATGGGATCTAGCTACAACCACATTTTGTCCCCATGATAATCCTCAAAACTAGGGCATTGGGATTTCTGGGCAAAATGATCGGCTTTATTTCTCATCCTTTTAGGGAAGGAATCTGGACATTGATGATTGTTGCCCACACGGTCAAAAAGGCATTGTGACTGTCTCCCCCTCTGCTAATCCGGTTTCACCAACTCCGTCCCCCATGATAACCAAACCAATCTTCATCTTTTTCCCCTGTTGTGTCTGTCTACTGTCTCCACCTCTGCTAATCCGGTTTCATCAACTCCATCCTCCATGCTAACCAAACCAATCTTGATCTTTCTCCCCTCAATTTCTTTCACGAGGACAATGTACCATTTTGGCCGGAGTTGGTGATCAATATCATTTAGATGAGGCTTCGGTTAGAACTTTTTGTTTAGGAGTACCAGAGTTGGGGAGATTTTTTGAGAGTAGTGCGAGTGGAAGGTATTAACTTGAACCAAATGGCTCTAGAGCCATTTTACGACAACCCCAAAAATAAAAAAATAAACCCTAGAAAAGTAAAGAAATAACATGAAACAAATTAAAAGACAATCAATAAAGATAATCCTTGAAAAAAAAAATACAAAATGAACTCACCAAGCTAAAACATTATATATTTATAAAAAATTAAATAAAAATATTGACTGCACAAAGTCAAGATACTCCTCCCACATTGGGAACTAATTCTAACAAAAACAGCCTACTCAGTAGTAATTTTGTGAGCAAAACTCCTTACACAAAGTGTACTACTTTTTAAATGAAAATTGGGAATTCTCTACAAGAGAAGCCATCTTGAGAAACACATAAAAGTCGGGATCTGAAAATGAAGGCCAACGTGGAGTCTAATTGAACTTGCCAGGCTGAAGTGCAACTAGAGCTTCGCAAAACACGGTCGTTTAACTGGAGGCATTCTTCCTTGCAGCATAAACACGGTAGGCAGCCAATCCAACAATGGCTACCGCAGCTCCAACTGTAGTGATGAAGTGATGACAGACATTGTCAGTGAACGGAGGAGAAAGACGAAGAAGATGATCAAGTGTTACATTCTAAGATGCACAGACAAGCACATTTTCAAAAAATGCAAACACAGCAAGCAAAGACATATGCGAAACATATAGTTTTATACATTTAATGTCACATTTGAATATTATATACTTATTTTATCTCAAACATTTATTGTTATCAAATTCATCAACCTTGCATATGCTAGTCCAGTGAAAAAGACAATAAATAAATGGGACACCGCACACCCCAACGTGTCCATAGCGTGTCTGCGTCCGACGTGTCACACACTGACACGTGACCTGAGGTGCCCGTGCTTCATAGGTTACATCATGAGTCTCCATAATAGAAAACAGAACGAATTATTCAGACAAAGTATTACTTAAAAAAACTTTTACAGTACCATCTCTTATCGACAAAGCAAGCCCATAAGATTTAAATCATTTCAAAAGGCAATACGAACAAATAAAAAAAATATTAAAATAAAAGAAAGCAGGTTCCAATATGAGAGTAGCAACTTTGAGCAAATAACTAGAAAGAGTCTGTGTCCAATCACTTAGACACTTTGTTCAACCACAATATAAAGTTCAGGCCTCAAGATGGCATCTGCTTTGGACAAACCAGAGAGTTAAAAGAAAACAAAAAAACCAGCATAGTGTGATTACCATACAAAGAAAGGGACTTGTAAAGATCTGAGAACTTAATTAAATAAATAATGCACATATCATAACCTAACAACTGCAATAAAAAATATTTTGAATAAGCAACAAACACTTAAGCTTCCATTTATTTTATTTTATTTTATAAAAAACAACACTCAAAAGCCCAATGACTAAAACAAGTATAGGTTATTTTACCTGATACAAACATCAGAGAGCGATTAATAAGCCGGTTATATTGCTTGCGACTTTTTCCAGCTTCAGTTTCAGGAATGCTCAAATGAGGGTGCTCTGCAGCACTCACAATCCTACGAAACACATTATTAAAATCCCCCAACTTTGTGCTGAGAGGTATAGGAGCTTCTATTCCCATATCCTGACTTACCTATGAAGCAAAATTTGAAGCAAAATGTGTTATTAATGTGTCAAGAACTGTAAACCAATAATAACACCATAGCAAATAACATATTAACTATTTGTCAGGTATCTTCCTAAAGCCTTACTCCCTATTATTACGAGAAAACCAAACCAAGGGTATTGTTCACAACTAGTGTTCAAACAGCCTTTAGACGGGCCCCAAAATCTTTTCCTTTCATTTCCAAACTCTTAGGTTGTGTTTGGATCATGAATTTGAGTGAGATTTGGAGAGAGAAAGAGAAAAAGTGAGGTAAATATGACTGACATAAGCTAAATTTTTTTCCCATTTCCCTTTCCTTTTCCAAATCCATGATCTAAACACAGCCCTACTCTTACATTACTCTATGTAAACCCTAATAGCGTCCATAATTTTACCACAATTTCAACAGAAAAAAGTCAACTAAATCAGCCTGAAGTCCTACTTTTCTACTGCACCATATTAGTTTTGGGGTCACTGCTAGTGGGAGAGTGTTCACCATACTCGTCCTGCATCACTTGCGATGGCCACTGAACTTGTGTATTTCAGTATGAAAAGAAATAGTCAGTGGTCAAAATCTATACCCTTGTAGAATCATGTATCTCTGTGGGAAATGGATCCAGATCATCTTTAGCTGCAACAATGAGGCAAGGCACCTCATGGCTGTTCATTTCTCCATGACTAGCAACTTCCACAAGCAATTCGGTTGCTCTCTTCCATGAATACTCATCAGAACTGGAAAATGAAAAGCATTAACTCGTGAAAAATCAGAGACGTGCATAAATGACAGAGCAAACATTGTAAGCATTCAGGACAACGCATATGGGTATCATGGAAATAGGGTGTCCTCGAACAATTTTGACAGACATGATGTTATAGACTATCAGTACACTATTACAACATTACTTATTAGGGGATCAGCTGTACTAGTGATTCACTGGATCTGACAAAAATAATGGCATTTTGGTTACCTGTCATGAACAAATACTGCTATGTCACAGGCTGCCAAATAATCCCTCGTTGAAAGCAACTTTCGGACTGCATCTTCAGGTATCTCTCGCAATATAAGAGTTTTTTTAGTTCCCTGTCAACACAACAAAATATATACTTGATGGGGTTCAACTGCTTAAAGAAATAATAATAGTAATAAGAAAAACATGAATAAAGTTGAACAAATAATAGTAATGAGAATTTTTTGGGTTATTAATTCTAACTTGATAAAACATTGAGTACTTTGGGTATTAAAACATTCAATACTCTGGGTTTTAATTTGTTCTCTAAATTTATGCTGGAGATAAGAACTAATATAGGTCTTTCAATAACTTTCTCCTAGTCATCATCTTTTCCAAAAAAAAAATATCAGAAAACAGACAAGATTGCCCAATCAGACTATCTGGACCATCAATCAGTTAGGCTTCCAGGTTTCAAAATCCCTGTAACCTTAGCATCCAAAACTATCCTGTATTTCAACTTGTCCAGGCCTGTATTTCAACTTGTCCAGGCAGGTAGATAAATTGTTGATCATTTATTCATGGCTCAATGTACCACACCAGTATATTTATATTTATGTTAAGAAGACCTCTAAACAACAAGAATTTTACCAACTGTTGAGAATTCATGGCTCAACAGGAATTTTATTCATGGCTCAACAGGAATTTATTCATGGCTGAATAAATTGTTGATCATTTATTCATCACTCAATTCTCTCAAACATATCGTTCTCTTATGTTGTGTTTGGTTGAGGGATTTGGGAAGTAATTTGGAAAAGGAAAGGAAAAAGGTGTGTGAAGCTATGTAAAATATAGGTATATTTTATTCACATTTCATCTACATTTCACTTGCCTTTCCCAAATCCCCCAACCAAACACCGTATTAGGAGTTCCCATCTTTTTTATTTGGTAAGTGAGACTTACTCCATCATCTCCTCTCATGTACTCTGATTTACAGAATGAACAACCAACTTAACTTATCCAACAAAATGAGCTACCAACTTAATCAAAAGTATCTGTTATACGCTATAGTTATAATAATTTTACCAAATAAAACTTTCTAAGACTTAAACCCCTTCAGACCCAATATAGTAATTTCCTATTAAAAGTTTCCTAGAGAACTGTACTTGAAGAGTAGTAGATTTTTCTGAAACCTAAATGTTGGAAAGGTTGTGTTAAAAGTTTTACAGTGAGGCTTAAATCCTAATTGCATCAAGGCTGACACCTTGAACAACTTTCAAGTAATTAGGTTGTCTTAATGTCATGTCCAGATTAAACATTCCCTGGTCCTAATCAAAAGCTAATTCTCCTTTGTGGAATACACATGCGTGCGGTTTGGACCCTCAACCTGAAGGACCAAAGTTATACAAGGTTGACAGGTAAAACTTAAATACATTTTAATGAAAAATATGCTGGAAACCACAAGTGTATGACACTATTTGTAAACTGCAGGCATGTCCAGCTATCATTTGCTCGTGAAAGTGCCAAAAACAGTGGGAATTGTGTAACTTCAAATTGAAACCACAATGAAAATGTTCCTTGCTTCACTGTTGGGTACTTTATGATGCACTAACCTGACAATACATGCTGGAATATCTAAATAAGGCCAATGTTTTGTCTTATCCATGGAATGAGCTCATGTAACATATAAACCATCAAGCCACATGGTGCATAATGTAATAGCACTTACCCCAGGTTGGTCAACAACATTGACTGCATAGCGCTCATCAGTGGTTGAAGTGTAAATATCAGAGAAAGGCCTACATTTCATACATCAACAACATACCTTGTAAGACTTGAAAAACATAGATGAATTACCAGGTGTAATCAAATATAAATTTCCTTAAGATAAACAAGCCTATCAAACATGGATTCAGAAGAAGCACCTTCCAATAAAAGAATTCAATAGCCCAGACTTTCCCGCCTTTTTTGGACCAAACACAAAACACTGGAAAACGGTTTTTTCTGATTGTTGCTTTTTGCGATCTAGACGTCTTCTTCGAGTGACACGAATGGCAGAAGAAGGATCACCAGCATATCCAATATAAATAAGATTCTCGACACTACGAATTGGATCTAGAAGTGTCATAAGGGCCCACTGCATACCACAAACTTGTGACCAAAAGATCAAAACACATGTTGCTTGGAAGAACATGTGTGTGCATGCGAATATGGTGCATGTCTAAAACGATACAGACAAATAATTGGATACAGAATGAGATTATGTTGAGCTTTTATGTTAACCAGATCTCAAAAAAATTGTGACCATGTCTTTCTGCAAGATATAAGTTACCTATAACAGCAACAATTCGAAAAAATGCAATGTAATCCATCTACCAAACTGACAAAACTGTAAGTCCACAAATTTAGTATAGCCAATAAAACAAGTTGGCACACCTAGCACCACAACTATTTAGGTTTGTTACCAATCCAAGTCAAGCTGAGTATTGAATTTATTACTCTTGACCCTGGTAGCCCTTAGGTCAGATTGGGCTGAAATTGGTCAAATAGAGGGGGAATGTTGACTAAGAGTAACATTTGCTAATTTTGCTGCAGATAGAATTTTTAACTGTAGCACTTCATGTATTAACTACTGGACAAAATCACCACATTTTATAATGCAAGTAAAACTCACGTTATATGCTACTCCCAGAAATGAATGAAAAGTGAAAAATATGGGGACACACAAACCTCTGACAAAAACCCATCAAGTGATAGCCCCCCCAAGGCAGTTTTCTCTGCGGCATCCTTACATGGACCTTCATCCCAAGGACTGAAATTTAAAGAGATGGTAGCAACAACTACATCAATAACAAAGCATAATAGGAATAAACAAATTCAAAAAAAAAAAAAAATGCATATATATGATACGCTAGTCATGTAATACGGCATTGGCAACATATCTCATTCATTCTATATGCAAAATTTTATCCGAAAGTGTCTCAAATTTACTTGAACATGAATGTCATTCCATATGAATGTCATTCCATATTGTAACATAATAAGCTAGCTGTCTATCTTTGCTTACATCACTCACCTCCCACCCCAAGTCCCCATCTATCACCCGTCTACCCTTTTCCCAAACCAGCAAACCCCCAACAGGAACCTCTGATCCCAAGGCCAAGATGGGAAGACACTGCTGGAACAGAAAGACCCACAGTCGTCGTCTCAAAATACACAAAAAAATTACCTATTCAACAAAGTTCATTGCATACAGGTATTTAATCAAAATTGTTTTGTAGTTTAGTGAAAGCGTTAGAACTCTTTCACATCTCTTCAAGATTGCCAGAGTTAATGGCTAGATAATGCAAAGGCTGTAAAAAGGGTTTTGACGTCTAACAAGCCTTAGAAAAAGTCAAACCCCTGCAGGCTGCACATTCAGTGAGTTTTTTTTTTTTTTTGACAAGTCATTCAGTGAGTGTTTTTTTTCATAGTCAATATGCCAAATATTGTCATACTCGGGCAACATGACTTGGTATCACATCACTAAAATATCTCAGTTTCAGATTACACTCTCAATATAGACATTACCTCAAATGTGCAACCATGCTCACTCTATAAAATATATTCATTTTAAAACATAAATGGTTTCAATATCAACCAAAATTGGAAAATTGCTTCAGATCAATGATCACGAGTTGATTATCAGCGAACGTACATTTTCATTCAACAGTAGCTTAATTACACACCACATGATATTTAAGCAACTCTGATTATATATATATATATATAGAGAGAGAGAGAGAGAGAGAGAGAGAGAGAGAAATATCTACCAGAGAAAGTGACAGTAAAGTGAAGGAAATGCTTCTAATCCATCAATGAAATGAAGAATTCTACTTACCTTTCTGGTGCAGTAGAAAAAAGATCTTCAAGTTCAGCTGGTTTAAGGGCCCCATCCTGGTAAGAATATCATCGAAACTTTGAGAAGTCAGAAAAGTAACATCTTTAACAACAGAACCTTGCTTTAAATCAAAATGACGACTATTATTTAATCACTATTGAAACTGTCACACACAATCAAACATTCATAAGTCAGCCCATGCAATCAATCCCAATGTTCCATGCCAAATTTATGCCTCAGTCATCACTAGTGAGAGCAAGCAACTATTCAATCAATTTAGTTTTGATCCAACATGAAATATATGGCTCATCACTAGTGAGAACAAACAACTATTCAATCAATTTAGTTTTGATCTAGTCAAACTATCTTTTCCTTTTCGTTTTTTTTTTTTTTTTTTTGTTGATCAACAACAAAATTAATTTTATAGACTAAGAAACTAAAAATTAATGTTATTGACTAAGAAAAAGAAACTATCTTTTTCTTTTCCTTCTAAACCAAGCTCACGAATGTACATGTAGCATACAAGCCCTAAAGCCCAGGCTCAAAATTGACTAATGCTTAATTGAGTTGTTTAGACCTTAAACAAAGTGTTTTTAGTTAATTTTGAAACAAGTTTTCATTCCCTTGACTGCCTGTCACAACCACAGGTCACCACCCCATTGACCACCCTCACTGCCTACCACCACCTCTGGCCATCTTCCACTGTCACTCTCCACTGCCAGCCTCCAATTCAGGCCACTCCCCAACTCCTACCACCACTTCCGGCAACTCACCAAACATGTTTTCTTGTTTTTGGTTTTTTATGTTTTGAAAACATGTGTACCAAAAAAGGTTTTTGTTTTTGTTTTTTGCAAAAACAAAAAAAAAAACACATATCTCGTTTTTTGTAAACAAAAAAACCACCTTAATCATTTATTATTAGTTCACATGTTACCTTTTATTCTTACTTCTTGCATCATGGACAAGGTTTTTCTTACTTGAAATTTGGATACTTGTTGCACGAGATTTGATTTTAAATTTCACTCACCATTTTGTTCATTTGGTAAGGTGCATTCCTCACCCTCTTAATCAACAAGGGGTAAAACGTTGGCCACTTCATTCATATGAAACTGAAAGAGAGCCATCAGCATTCGAAAGTGTCTCACAATATGGCCTAGCAGCTTTGATTTCAGCCAAATTCTTTGAAACAATATCATAATGAAGTGGAATACACATCGAAGATTTGTATGTTTTCATGTGTATCATTATAGTCCAGGTTGCATGGGCCAAAGGCTTTTATCTATTCTTACATTGGAGAGCAGAGAAATTCTCCTAATTCTAAGAGGATTGTAACTCCAAATTAGGAAACTTTCTTCAATCATTAAACTATTCTAGACATAATTAAAACCACATAAAATGACCAATGGATGATCCTTATTCCTTACAGTTCTTGTCCAACAATTCACAAAATTATTGAATTACCGTAGACAACTAAAACCTAATAATAGTCATAAATCTGTCCAACAGCATTCTCACCTATAAACTACATAAAACAAGACTCAAATTGACCTTAAGAAATTATACAAAGCTCCATGTGTGTTACAAGTAAACTTCAATATTTGCCCCTCTTCCTTTTCAAGTACTCTACATCAGTACCCATGTAAAGTTATCAATCTAACAAATTGTTTGGATGTGTATTCGCTTTTCGTTTTTGTTTTCGTTTTCGTTTTCGTTTTCCAAGTTTTCAGAAACAAAAATAATGAAAAGTTCAAAAACATCCATCATTTATTTTTGTGCAAAAATAGTTTTCAAAAATTGAAAATGAATTTCAGTGTTTCCTAAAAAGTGGGTTGTTTTCAGAAATATTTTTTCAAAAATAGATTTCAGAAACAATTCACCAAACAATTTTTCTATATTTTCCAAAAATTTAAAAATCCAAACAAGCCCTTTGTACAAATCAAATAAGGAAAATTTGAATAGTACATAAACCATCGATGTAAGTCAAACATGACATTAGCAACTCAAAACCATAACGACAATAATACCATGTAAAAGTTTTGTTCACAATATAATGATAAACAACATACAACAATATTATCATTGAACCTGCCATTATAGCCAATTCACAAATTAAATAAATCTCACATTATAATATGTCAAATCCATATTTCATATTAAACTCTAAATATATGAAAAGAAACTTAGTAATACATACACCATCATTGTCAAACAAGAGAAAGATTCCCTTGAGAAATTCCACAGCTTCACTTGTTAGCTCCACACTCTGCAAATGACAACTAAGAATTAGTATTTCTAAAAGAACAATATCTACATCCATGACCAATGAACTTAATACTAAAAAAATAACCCATTATATTTAGAAAGGAGAATATCAATAAGAAAGTGTTGGGATGTATAGAATATACGAAATTAGTCAAATGTTGCATTTGAAAATCTCATTTTCATGAGCATAATACTCCAAGCTACATGCCTATGCTTCAGGGGTAGCAATTTTAGATTCAATCATGCCAACCCAAAATTTTAGTTTGTCATGGCCAGAGAGTGCAAGCTACATGCCTATGCTACAGTTGAAAATCTAATTTTCTTGAGCATAATACTCCAAGCTACATGCCTATGCTTCAGGGGTAGCAATTTTAGATCCAATCATGCCAGCCCAAATTTTAGCCTGTCGTGGCCAGAGAGTGCAAGTGACATCAAGGGTCAAAAGATTCTTCAACTAAAAACAGTCCAAGCGTTTAAAAAGATGCAAGCTAAACCTTTTGTTAAAGCAAAGAAGCAATATGGTAAATCTCCAGACGATTGAGTTCCAGGCTTTTTGAAAAGCCTAGAAAGATAATCAAGACTACGTTACACAGACTCGGGTGCGGGTATCGGGTGTGGTTGTGGGTACACATCTAGGGTCGGACACTTCAAAATTAAAAATTGAGGAGAGTGCAAGTGACATCAAGGGTCAAAAGATTCTTCAACTAAAAACAGTCCAAGCGTTTAAAAAGATGCAAGCTAAACCTTTTGTTAAAGCAAAGAAGCAATATGGTAAATCTCCAGACGATTGAGTTCCAGGCTTTTTGAAAAGCCTAGAAAGATAATCAAGATCTACGTTACACAGACTCGGGTGCGGGTATCGGGTGTGGGTGTGGGTACACATCTAGGGTCGGACACTTCAAAATTAAAAATTGAGGATACGTGGATATGGATCCAAATTTGAATACGAGTACGGGGATACGTTTACGGAGATACATTAAATAGTTTTTTTTTAAAATATATTTATTATATGAAAATGAGTTAAAAAAAGTTAAAGAATAACAAATTTTGTTTAAAAAAATAACAAATAAAAATTATTTTAAGCACAAAATAAATAATATTATATATGATAAAATAAATTATTTTTATTTTAGGTATAAAAATTATATTATTTATAATATATTATATTATACAATAATATTATATAATATGAATAATATTATACAATGTTATATTATACAATAATATTTTATAATATGAATAATATTATATATTATTATATTAATGTAATTTATATTATATAATATGTAAGAAGAGAAAGAGGATAGAGAAGAGAAAGAGAATAGAGAGAAAAGAAGACAGTTGACAGAATCAAAAAGAGAGAGAGAGAGAGAGAGAGTAGAAGAAGAGGGAGATCAAGAGGAGAGGAAGAGGGAGATCGAGAGATGAGAGAGAAGACAGATCGAGAATGAGAAGATAGAGAAGGAGATCGAGCATCGAGCAAAGAAGATCAATGTCGAAATCGAAGCCAACGACCAGAGGAATCGAAGTCGGCGATCAGATCAAACAACGAACAGCAACCAGGTTCTCTCTTGCTCTCTCCTCTTTCATTTCTTTTGTCGTATCCGTTTGTGAAGAGCCGTGTTCTAGCCGAATCCCGCACCCGTGTCGTGTCGTGTCGACACGGGTACCTCCGAAAATCCAAAGAGTCCGCGTAACGTAGACCAAGATTAGACCTACAGGCATCCTGGAAGCTCCGCCCAAAGACCACACCAGTACCCAACAGTGGCCACCACTGTAAGAGGGCCGGGTTGGTTTGGGGTGTCTTAAAAAAGTGCACTTTTTGTCTTTTTACGAAAAGATGTGCAGAAAAGTAGAGAGGTGATGTGATAGAAAAAAGATAATAAGATAAAAAGATGGATTATATAGTAGATGCCAAACCAAGCCTAGATTTATCACTTTTCAATATCTTGCAAGCAAACAAATGCATTATGAGGAGATAGAAGCGCATCCTAACCCTAACCCTATAACCTGCTGCCTTGATTAAGAACATGAGGACAACAACCAAGAATCAAATGGAAGAATGCTTTGCCTACAACTCACAACTGTACCATCACATTGATGATTTATGAACACAAGGAAAAGTCTCCACGGGTGACCAATATCATCACACTGGGGGTTCCCAAAAACAAAAACCAAATTGAACACTAATTGTATAGCACAGATCCCACACGAGAAAGTATGCATGATATACCAACAGATGTCCAACTTCAATACTAGATTTATTGCATTGACGCTTAATAAACATAATGAAGTCTCTGGGGGTGGCAGGCATCATGCAAGTATTTCACAGATGTCCAGCTTAAAAGCTAGATGTATTGCATTGATGCTTAATAACCATACAGAAAATCTCCATGGGTAGCAGGCATCATGCTAAGGGACCCAAAAACTTAACCAAATGAAAATGCAGAACGTACAGAATGGATCCCACACAAGAGAGTATGCATAATTAACCACAGATGTCATATATAAATGCCACAGAGAGAGAGAGAGAGAACGCAGAAAGAGCAAAAACACAAGCAAGTTAATAATATCAACATTGACAGATTTGCATCATGTAGCAACTTAAAATTCATTTGTTGCCAAAAACCACTATATGGTAACCATGTAACAGTAACCCTAGTTAGGCTAATATAGGGATCTGTAGTAAAAGTAAGAACTAGATTCATTATAATCTCAAACTCTAACATCATCAATTATAGAATTTGTACAGTTGGATAAATATTACAGGTTCAGCTGGGTTGACCTCCAGTAACAATCCAATCTTTATCAATTTCCCATTCACTTTGGACAAATAAATACACAAGCTTCTCAAAGATAACGAATTATAATTAGATCCAACAAACTAATCCCTAAATCAAGGTTTACTCAAGGAGTTACCTGATCAGGTGCTCGTTTAATTGGAGCCGGAAGCAGATCTTCACCAAGTCTGATATCATTATTGTACCCGAATTTCCTTAGGACAGTCCATGTTGTTTCGAGACGTCCCTTTTCGATGAAGAGTGCATGAAGAAAGAGGAATCCCGTCAAAGTCAGACCACGGTCATTGACACCTTCAGGTAGTTTTTCTTGCACTACCCTCTTAACACCCACTATTTCAGAAGGTTGTAGAGGAGCATTAAAACATTTGACCTGTTTACAACCATTATAATATGATACAAATTGTAGTCAAAATATACATAAACCATGCAAACACAACTTTGGTTGGAATATAATAAGATTACTCATTAGAACTCACAAAAGAGTTCAAAGAATGAACAAGTTCAACAGTAATATGTTTATATCCCATACATGCATATAAATTAAGTGCATTCAGATATAGTCACCTACACATGAAAAAGAAAAGGCAGACCTGAAAATCATTCAACTCTGCATCACTGAGTGCACCATCCCTGTCATGGTCACAGAGAATGAATATCCGTTTTAAAGCCCTTACACACCGAGGCTTTAGAGTTTGTGCTTCCTGATCAAATAGTGGAGCTGTTGGATGAAGTACTGCTTTTTGTGCATAGTAGAAAACTTCAGGAATCTGCAAGTAGAGAGAGAATTTCCAAAATTCTACATTATGGCGAGCTGAATATAAAGGACACCACACTAACAGATTGCTTTGAAAATATTAATTTAAAAAAAAAAAATCATTAAACAGACCAGTTGGATGACTTATAATATTGGATTCTTTAACCTTATGGTCGTATAAGTTATGACAATTGAATTCACAATGCACAGATTCTCAGTATGCAAATCCTTAAGATTGAATTCTAAAACATCTTAGAAGGACCCATATAAGCAGGTTACACGTAATATATAAGACAAGTCCAGAATCGCACTGCTGCGAACATGGAAGACACAGAGTCTCAACAATGCACAACCAAATGACAGTGGTAAAAAAGGTTTAAAACAAATGAAATTTTCTTTTGATAAACAGTAAACCAATGACAAAGACAGATGATGAGGACTAGCTATGTCAGTCACTTTAACCATTATTGTAGCTCGCCATATGTATTCCATGCCCCCTTGTCCATATCTACCGTCAAGAAGGCTTTTAAACCATACCTGAATAAGTTTGAATGCTGAACATTCAATACAAGTTTCGATCTCCCGAAACTGCTGCATTATTGGAGACATCACCTGCTCCAAGCTCACCGGATTATGGTCATCCCTCAAATCCAGTTTGCAACCCACTACTATCACGGGCACCTTTACCTGCTCAGATATATCCAATCCACATTAATATCAAAAAAATGGTAGTAAGACAAACAACAAGGCAGAAATTACAATTTCACAGTATCTCTTCCAGAAGACTTTCAATCGGTTAACTAAATTTGAAGCACAAACCTCTAATCGACGAAGTTCGGGAAGCCAGAAAGTACTCAATCGGTCGAGCGTGGCAGGTTGATCACACGCATAAGTAAGCACCACTGCATCAGCTCGCTTCAGTTCTTCAGCCAGTTTACCTCTATTCTCCAAACTGAATACAATAATATCATAAAAGCATTCAAATTTACCTCTAAAATTTAAAAACTATACAATATTCATACGCATACAACTTCATGCACAACTTCAGCTAGTTTATAAGATTGAATTAGGGCGTATTACTGTAGATTGAGAGACACTGAGCATACACACACATACACATAGATAGATAGACAGAGATAGAGAGAGAGAGGGACCTGGAAGACGTATCGATGATTGTGACAGGAACTCGATCGGGATACATATCATCGGGCAGCCTCGTCGGCGGCAACACAGGGGGGGCATTGGTGGGAAAAGTTTCGGCGGCGACGGTGACAATCAAGCTCGATTTTCCGGTGCCGCGTTCGCCGGCGACGACGATGCGAACGCCACCGCGGACGCCGGAGCTCGCCTTCGCAGCTGCGCCACCTCCAGCCATTCACACTGCACACGGATATCCAAAACCCTAATTTATACAAAAATATAAATATATATATAGACACACCACGGCTATATCTATATATATATATATGTGTGTGTATACGTGAGAGAGAGAGATTGAAGAGGATGCTTAGAAAAGAACATTTACCCTTTGGTGCAGAGCTATGATGATGGGGGGGCGTGGTTAGATGCGACCTTGATTGTGGTCGCAAGACTGCTTTGCTATGCTAGCGAGGATCGATGTACTAAAACCTCGTTTGGATTGATTTTGAAGAAAAATCAAAAAAGTAATGTATACAAATTTCTTTGTCTTAATTTACCTTATTTAAATAATTGAAGAGGAGAAAATTAAACGGAAATAAAAACAAATGTTTACATTTATAAACTTATATGGAGAGATTTGAAGAAACACACTTGCTTGGTTTGAGTTTTCTAAAAATGTCTTTTAAAAAAATTTACTTTCTTATTTTTTATATTTTTTATTTTTATTGAATGATGATGGGGGGTTTGTGTTAGATGCGACCTTGATTGTGGTCGCAAGACTGCTTTGCTATGCTAGCGAGGATCGATGTACTAAAACCTCGTTTGGATTGATTTTGAAGAAAAATCAAAAAAGTAATGTATACAAATTTCTTTGTCTTAATTTACCTTATTTAAATAATTGAAGAGGAGAAAATTAAACGGAAATAAAAATAAATGTTTACATTTATAAACTTATATGGAGAGATTTGAAGAAACACACTTGCTTAGTTTGGATTTTCTAAAAATGTCTTTTAAAAAATTTTACTTTCTTATTTTTTATATTTTTTTTATTTTTATTGAATTTTTTAATATTTTGAGTAATTTTTTTAATTTTTAAACATATCTAATATAAATACACTTAAAAAGTATAATTTTCGTGAAAAAAAACTTTAAAAAATTCACTAAATATCAAAAATATAAAAAATATATAAAATTCAGTATATTTTTCGTATTTTTGTGTATTTATTAATTTTTTGAAATATTTTTTCACAAATATTTTTAGGTACATCTAAGTAAGGTGCATCTAAAAAGGTAAAAAAAATGCTTAAAATTTTAAAAATATTTACTAAAAATAAAAAAACACGAAAAATAAAAAATAGTTTTCAAAAAATTGAATTTAGAAAATTGAAACTAATCACACTGATTAATATTCTTAATGTTAAATTTAGATAATATAAAAAAATATTCACCTAAATGCAAAAGAAATTTTAAAAACAACTTATATTTTCTTTTAATTTCCCTTATGTAATTTAACCACTAGATAGAATAAAATTATTGTATTTTGTAATTTTTTTCTTATTATATTTTATCTACCGACTTAAGTAATTGTTTATTTTATTTGTCTTCTCGGTTTTCAAAATTGACTTCACTTGTGAGACCTCTTTACTTGGTAATATCGATTTTGAGTCATTTGACAATTGTTTTTCTTTTTTAATACATACTTGAATAGGAATATTGGATAAATGAGAAGCGAAAAATGACAAATTTAACAATATGCCTGTTTAGTAGGATTTATTTTCAGTTTATAACTTAAAATAAATGTTTTTGGAGTGTTTGATATTGCTTTTCAGATATGCTTTATAACTTATTTGAAGTGATTTTCAATTTAAATGTCTAAGCTGGCTAAGAGGTGCTTTTTGAAACAGCTTAAGCAGACAACTGAGTTTTGAGGGGTGTAATGACTTAAATGCCCCTCATATACTTCAAATATTACCAAAAAAAAAATCAATATATAAATCCACAACAAACACTGTTCATTCCCTCAGAGAGAGAGAGTGAAAGGCAATTTTCGATGCGTAAAAGGCGATTTTCTGATGGTGTGAACTAGAGTTAGCTCTCTCTCTCTGAAACCACATCACGATCTGAAAATGGTGATGATGATGATGCGATCGACGGCGTGTGACGATCTGACGAGCTCTTTTTTTTTCTCTCTCTTTTTTTTTTCTCTCTCTCTCTCTTACGATCTGAAATGGTGACGATGATCATGACAATCGACGACGTTACGATCTGACGAGCTCTCTCTCTCTTCGCGATTGCAAAGGGAACGGGCTTGAGCTTTCTCTCTCTCTTCACAATTGCAGCTAGGGTTTTGCAAGGGGCTTTTGGCAATGAGATGAGAAGGAGAAGGAGAAGAAAAAGGAGCTACCTGCTAGGGTTTCTTGCGGACCACCAGCGGTGGCTAGGGTTTTGCATAATTGTAATGAAAAAAGAAGTGAAAAAAACACAATTTATTTCAATTAACTTCCATTTAATTTAAAAAAGAATATTTCAATTAATATTGAAATAAATTCAGCAATTTATATCCAGTAAATAAATTGCACAATTTATTTCACAATTAATATTGATATAAATTGCACAATTGCACTATTTAAATAAAGAAATAAAATGCACAATTTATTTCAACTAATATTAATATAAATTTATTTCAATTAAATAACTTCTATTAAAAGAATTTTATATTGATATAAAATTCTTTGGTATTGTAATAAATATAAAAAAAAAAATTGTTGCTAATTGATATTAATGAAAAAAATGAAATAACTTTTATTAAATGAAATATAAAAAAAAAATGAAATAACAATTGTTGTAATGACATGTATCAATTTTGATATTAATTGATACTAATTATATTAACTTTCATTATTGAAACAATTTTTTTAAAAAAATTAAGACTAAAGAAAATAAAAAAATAACAATTTTTATATCTTATAAGGGCAAAAAGGACATTACACGGTAAAAAATTATTTTACAGCTTATTCAACCAAACACTATTCTGTTGATTAAATCAATAATTCCATAGCTGTACCAAACAGATTAATAGCTTATATTTAAATTTATAATCTGTTAAGCCATAATCTATAATCACTTTCCCACAGTTACATCAAACTGGGCCAATATTAGTAAGAATTGTGTGAAAATTACAAAGCTTTCACTTGCACAATTTCTAATTACTTTTTTTTGGTTTCCATTTGTATGATATTCTTCTTTCTTTTAAACTTAATTTAAGACGACAGATTTAAGAGATCATTTGATATAAAATTTTATTAGTACAAAAAAAAGGGGGTTTGACAAACAAAAAGTGTTTCTTACTTCAATTTCTCTATTTTTGTTAAGACAAGATATTAATCAAAATATCTCTCTCATAATAACAGTGTTGTTTAACTCTTAATACTACATCAACTACAATTACAAAATTTGTTTTAAAATTTTAAAATTTAATTAACTTTTAATATAAATATTAATTTTCGATAAAATCCGCCTTTTTTGAAATCCTTTGGACGACGATCTATCAAGCAAGATCTACGATCAATATGAAATATTAAAAAAATAATAATATTCACCAAGTTTACAGTGAAATTTTACTAGTTTTAATATAGTGAAATTATCAACTAACGGTTAAAACTTGTAAAGGTGAACACAAATTACAAAAAGAATGTTGCTAGTAGCACCCCATCAATTATTTTATACCCCTCATTTATTTGGACCCCCAATTATAAATTTTAAAGCCCTTCAAATTTCTTTTATTCCCTCAAATAATACCAAAATTATCCTTATGAAAATATTCTACCTATTCAATTGAATGCACACCCCCACATCCCAAAAAATCTCTCTCCCAAAAACCTAACAAAACCCGTAAAGGTGATTACTATTTCATCTCCACATAATTGTTGATTACTGTCTCATCTTCACATAATTGTTCGTGACCTTACAGTGAGAAAATAAATATAGGGTTTTTAATCTTCAATCCTTAGAATGTATTAGCAAGAATTTGGGTTAGGATTTTTGTGCTTGAAAAAGAAGAAGAATAGCCAACCATGATTACTGTCAATTGCCCTGACAAGATTGCCTTGGGTTGTGATATCTGTCGCCTCATTCTTTTCTTCGGTTTGATCATTGTCAGAGTTAGTTATCTGTTCCCGAACAAATAAGAAATGTTCGGTTACTTGTTCCTGAACAAATAAACAATGTTCGGGCCTGTGTTCCCGAATTTCAAGCATATGTTGGAGAGTTCAATCCCAAAAAAAATGACGAATTGTTTTTATTATTTTTGTTATTTTTTTCAAAAAACTTATTGTTACAAGGCTAATCTTAGCTGAGAAAACCATCAAACTTATGAATCTCCTCTGAACTTTTATTGTTATACTTTTTTCATCTTATGGAGTTATGATTGCCGGAAAAATTTTCATTCATTGTCATTGTTAGAGAAGTGTAAATAATCAAATGGTTGCCACCGTTACTGCCAGAATATTGCCGCTAAAGAGTTTTTAAGGTTTTGAGGGTGGATAGATTTTGAAGATGTGATTTGGGGAAGATTGATGGGTGGTGATGGAGATTGGTGCTTTCATAAATCATAATTCATGATGTAATGGGTGTGTGAACTTAATTGTGAGACAGGATGTCCCAAGATTATATATTGATGTCCTTTTTAGTAATTTTATTTGAGATTATTATTGTAATAAAAAATAAACTAAAAAATAAAGGGTCTAAATTGATGGAGTGTTAATAGCAGCACTCATTACAAAAACTAGCTCCAAATTTAGAGCTAAAACGATAAAACTATAATTTTTTTAGATCTGGATAAAGCTATAAATTTATATATTCTAAAATAGTGGAATTTCATTGTCCAATGGCAATTCTATCATTTCTATCCAACTATTAGAGATTAAAGCTTCGTTTGGCTTTAGCTAATATAGTCAATTTTTTTGTATTGAGATTTTCTTTTTGGCCTGGCTTTTTTAGCCTCGTTTGGTTTGGATTTTTTGGTTTTTTTTTATTTATTTTTGTGAGAGAAAAAGCATAATGATTATGAGTTAGATGTGATATTTTATCTTATTAGCTTATTTAGCCTATTTTGTCAATATGTATTTTTTTAGCTCCCAAAATGATAACCAAAGCAAGACTAAGTACAATATAAAAGCTTCAATAGGAATGAAATAATCAAAAGAACAGTATGGTCACGAAGTAGAAAAACAAAAAAATAAATATAAATATAAACATACGAAACAAAAGATGATTAGACTTGTAAATTACAAATATTTTTTAGTTTGTTTCCTATAAATAAATTCATAACCATATCCCATAAATTAAAATCATACTAAAAGATTCATAACCATGCAAATATGTTTCTTAATATATATATGGGCATATTAGTTGCACTCTTTTTTGTTTTTTTTGTTTTTTTTTAAGCCTTAAAATGAACCTTGTTCCATAAGGAAAAATTGGTCTAACATTTCTCCTAACTTTTAGTAATAGGAGAGATTTACAATAATTTTTGTTATAACCTAAGGTCCCTCATCCACACCCATACATTCTCTCATTCTCTTTCCTCTCTCTTTTTGCACAAAACCTCTCGCTTTTCCTCCGTTATGTTCTTCTTTCTTTTATTATGTTCTTCTCTGTTGCCCAAAGGCAAGCTTTGGTGGATGGAGGAAGAGAGAAAGGTCGACCGATCGGACATTGAGCATCTTGAGGACGACAATTGTGGCAATACTGGCGCAGTACAATATAAAAGCTTCAATAGGAATGAAATAATCAAAAGAATAGTATGGTCACGAAGTAGAAAAACAAAAAAATAAATATAAATATAAACATACGAAACAAAAGATGATTAGACTTGTAAATTACAAATATTTTTTAGTTTGTTTCCTATAAATAAATTCATAACCATATCCCATAAATTAAAATCATACTAAAAGATTCATAACCATGCAAATATGTTTCTTAATATATATATGGGCATATTAGTTGCACTCTTTTTTGTTTTTTTTGTTTTTTTTTAAGCCTTAAAATGAACCTTGTTCCATAAGGAAAAATTGGTCTAACATTTCTCCTAACTTTTAGTAATAGGAGAGATTTACAATAATTTTTGTTATAACCTAAGGTCCCTCACCCACACACATACACTCTCTCATTCTCTTTCCTCTCTCTTTTCGCACAAAACCTCTCGCTTTTCCTCTGTTATGTTCTTCTTTCTTTTATTATGTTCTTCTCGGTTGCCCAAAGGCAAGCTTTGGTGGATGGAGGAAGAGAGAAAGGTCGACCGATCGGACGTTGAGCATCTTGAGGACGACAATTGTGGCAATACTGGCGCAGTTGAAAAGGGGGTCTTTGGTGAGGTTGTTAAAGGAATCGATGATGCCATCGATGTGGGATATGGAGATATGGCTCGTGTGGACTTTAAGTTGACTAGGAAGGTGACGAAGTCGTCAATTTTGTCAATAGCACAACTCAAGAAGTCAAAACTAGGGTCGAGGTTAGCAACAGTTGCGAGTGCGAATGGCTTGCAGAGGTGAATATAGGCTTGAGTTCAGTAAGAAGGGTTGTAGAAGAAGAAGAAGAAGAATAGAGACAAAAGAAAGGTTCTTGCATCTCAAGGTTAATGTTTGGATTGATGACAACATATGGCCATTATTGTGGTGATGATGCTTAGGTAACAACACTAGTCTACATATATCAGTAGACTAGTTCAATTTTCTCTAGGTTTTAATTTTCTTTAATTTGCTCAAAACACAGAGAAAATTGTGAGCAAATCAGAGAAAATTGTTAAAACACAGGGAAATTTATGAGCAAATCAAAAAAATTATGTGTAATGAAATTTCTCTAGATCAAAATTTATCTGGATCGAAATTTTTCTAAATCAAAATTTCTTCAAAATATTATATGTATTTTATCCTTTAAAATCTTAATATTAGGAACATTAAAAAAAATTTCCCACTCCATAATGGTTAAAAGGGAAGAGATCTCATATTTGAAACATGTTTTGGTATGACTCTAACTATTTTAAACTTTTGATAAATGAAGTACTACTAATTTGTCCTACTAAAAATAAAAAATATTTTTTCAAAGTTATGTTTTGAGATTAGTTATTTTGATAATATGATTTTAAGTAATTTCTTATAAAATTTATTTAACTTCAAGTTCAAAGTTATGTTTTTAAAACACAATTTTCTTATAAAATTTATTTAACTTCAAGTTCAAAGTTATGTTTTTAAAACACAATTGAAAATCACCAACCACTAAAAATGAGATTCCAAATCACCAAGGTTGCATCAAATCAGCCTCTATTTTAGCAATTGGATTAAAAGTTAAAAAATAACAAAAAAATTAACTTTTAACATAATTCTCAAAATAAGTTGAAATATTAGGCTTTTTTAAAAAGTATTTTTTAAAAAAAATTATTTTAGCCTTCGTTTGGCATATCAAAAAGTCTATTTTTTTGGTTATTTTAGTTATAAAAAGGCAAAATAGACTAAAAAATCAATAAGATAAAATGTCACATCAAAATCATAATCATTTCATTTTTTTTTGCAAAAGTTAAAAAAAAAACAAAAAAAGCCTATTCCAAACCCTAAGTTAAAATAATAAAAAAAAAAAATCAAAAAATTAAAAAACCTCTCAAACGAGCCCTTAGTTTGACTTGTTGTCTTTATTATTTTTAAGTAATTTCTTATAATATGATTTTAAGTAATTTCTTATAAAATTTATTTAACTTCAAGTTCAAAGTTATGTTTTTAAAACACAATTGAAAATCACCAACCACTAAAAATGAGATTCCAAATCACCAAGGTTGCATCAAATCAGCCTCTATTTTAGCAATTGGATTAAAAGTTAAAAAATAACAAAAAAATTAACTTTTAACATAATTCTCAAAATAAGTTGAAATATTAGGCTTTTTTAAAAAGTATTTTTTAAAAAAAATTATTTTAGCCTTCGTTTGGCATATCAAAAAGTCTATTTTTTTGGTTATTTTAGTTATAAAAAGGCAAAATAGACTAAAAAATCAATAAGATAAAATGTCACATCAAAATCATAATCATTTCATTTTTTTTTGCAAAAGTTAAAAAAAAAACAAAAAAAGCCTATTCCAAACCCTAAGTTAAAATAATAAAAAAAAAAAATCAAAAAATTAAAAAACCTCTCAAACGAGCCCTTAGTTTGACTTGTTGTCTTTATTATTTTTTTAACATTTAACTTTTTTTTTTAAACAAAAAAAAGTTACTCACCTAACACACAAATCACACCAAATAATAGAGTTAAATTAGCTATCAATTTATCCAACTCCAATGTTCTAAATTATATAACAAAAAAAAGTTACTCACCTAACACACAAATCACACCAAATAATAGAGTTAAATTAGCTATCAATTTATCAAACTCCAATGCTCTAAATTATATATACGTTATTCGATCTTACTTTAATTAATTTAGAATTCTAAAAAATTAAATTAATTTAGATTTCTAAAAAATATTTAATTATATTGGTTCAATTAAAATAAAATATATCGGCATTAGTATATAAAATGAAAAGTGAATTGGAATCCAACTTTATTTTGAACTATTGACATCTTGAATTCTCCTTGAGCAGTAATGTAATACTATATTCTAAGGTATAGAACAACAAGCAAACTTAAGTAAAAAAGAATTTTTAGAATTTTATAAAACATGATTTAATAGCAGTGCGGTTTGGAAGAAAAATAGAAACCGGCGGATTGATAAAAGTGTCACTAGAATTTGCCATTTTCCTTATAAAAACCGGCGGTTCGGTTGGCAAATAATGGCGGATTTGCCTTGGTGATTCGGACGGATTGGCGGTTTATAAAAAATATAATTCAAATTACAAAACTTAAATCAAAGAGTAAAAAAAAGATGAGAGATATCGTGATGTTAAGCATCTTGAAAAGTGAATTGGAATCCAACTTTATTTTGAACTATTGACATCTTGAATTCTCCTTGAGCAGTAATGTAATACTATATTCTAAGGTATAGAACAACAAGCAAACTTAAGTAAAAAAGAATTTTTAGAATTTTATAAAACATGATTTAATAGCAGTGCGGTTTGGAAGAAAAATAGAAACCGGCGGATTGATAAAAGTGTCACTAGAATTTGCCATTTTCCTTATAAAAACCGGCGGTTCGGTTGGCAAATAATGGCGGATTTGCCTTGGTGATTCGGACGGATTGGCGGTTTATAAAAAATATAATTCAAATTACAAAACTTAAATCAAAGAGTAAAAAAAAGATGAGAGATATCGTGATGTTAAGCATCTTGAAAAGTGAATTGGAATCCAACTTTATTTTGAACTATTGACATCTTGAATTCTCCTTGAGCAGTAATGTAATACTATATTCTAAGGTATAGAACAACAAGCAAACTTAAGTAAAAAAGAATTTTTAGAATTTTATAAAACATGATTTAATAGCAGTGCGGTTTGGAAGAAAAATAGAAACCGGCGGATTGATAAAAGTGTCACTAGAATTTGCCATTTTTCTTACCAAAAACCGGCGGTTCGATTGGCAAATAATAACGAATTTGCCTTGGCGGTGCGGTTCGGTACGGTTTTGGCGGTATTATGCACACCCCTACACTCATATCATATCCATTTCTCACATGCTATACAAATGGATTTTGTGGTTCGTTCTTGTCAATGCTTTAGGAGCATAGGTTGTAGCAGTAGTTAGGTTTGAGTTATAAGGGGGGTGAGCAACTGAATCTGCTGATTCATGTTGTTTGGGCTCTTTATGAATATAAGGTTATGAAGTTGAAACTAGGAGGGTTTAAGTTGTTTTTGTATTTTTTATTTTCAAGAAATACATGGGTTTCTATTCTTATTTTGTATAATCGGATTGTATGTGGTTACAATTCTTGATACTGAAATTGTGAATACTCTTTGTTCTTTAAATAGTCTTTAGCTAGATGGTGTCAACAATATCCTAATTGCCAACATGGAGGTTAAATTTATCATTTCATTTAAGTCAAGTAATACTAGCGCAGCCATTTGATCACAACTGTATCACTATCTTTGTGGTCTTGAAAGTATCAAGTATGAGGAATGCTTTTGTAGCGTAATTAGGTGCTTCCTTTCTATGGTCTCCAGGAAATTTTAGCAAAGCATAATACTTCTAAACTTCTAATAGATTTAATGAGTTAAAGATGTATTGGGGGAATGTACTTATTAAAAAAAAAAGAATTATCAGTGAGTATTTAGGAAATTTCTTGTTTGTTAAAAAAAGATTTATCTTGGAAGTTGAATCACTCTCGATTAGGCATTTCATAACAAGTCTGAGGTAAGTGCTTTACTTATACATATATAAAGGATTAGTTAAAATAGGAGAGACAACTCGGAGAATTGTGTGGATTTTTCATGGCTCCTTTTTTGTTGCATATCATTCCTCGTTTTTCAGTTTATTTATTTATTTTTAATAAAAGAGCAAAAGAATAATATTCTTGTATTTATATACAAAAATGATGCAGATACATTCTCAAAACCCGCATCTGGTTCTGATGAGCCGCAGCAGCAGCAAAGTGGTTGGTTTCAAGTGTTCTCAATTGCTTATTATAGGCCTTACTTCGATGTCGAAACAGCAGATGTTATGGAGAGGATTAAGGATTCACTTTTTCCATTTAAAGGAAGCTTTTCTGAAAAAACTTCTAACAACCCAGATTTGTAAGTTGTTGCTCTGGTAATTTTTTATATTTTATGGACAAGTTTTGAAAGAAGTAATTTCATTTTGAATATTTCCTCTCTAAAGATTTTATTCATGAATATGATTATTGGAATGGAAGTTACTTACCCTTATTGCCAAAAAGATCTTGCTTATTTCCTCAGTAATTGTAGTTGGCAATTGAAATGACATGTTCTGGTCCTCTAATTGTAGTGCCTTTTTCTATGGTGAAGATATATTAGTTAGCTCTATTAACAGCTAGTTGATTCCATGCTTGTATATTATAAATTGTACTGGAAAATCACGCGCTTAGTTAAAAGTGGGGGATATTGTCATTAGCAGCATACTATTTTTTACTTTATACTCATGGTAAGACAAACTTATGGATGTCTTGTATGATTTTTGCCTCAAATTGAGTAACATGGCTGTTTGGATAATAATCAAGTGTCACCTGCGTGTCACCTATAGTGTGAGAATTTAGCAAGCATCTGGGCTTAAAGAGGTATGAGGATTGAATAGCTCAAGTGTGTTTTATTTATCTTGTGTAGTTAAAATCCATAATTAACAATGAGTCATTAATGGAAATGGTAACTATCAGTCAGTGTAATTAAAAAGTACAAGTGTATGAGATTCTAAAGCCATTGTGTAATGTATACTATCAACACCAGTGGCTCCCATTTTCTTAAATGGACCTATACTATTTTATGTAAGCTTAAAGAAAATCACATGTTTAATTGTTAATGTTATCAATTATCACCATGATTATTTGAAATAGTACTAGTGAAATTTATTCTGGTTACGTGCTACACTATTGAGATTTCATGCAATGGAATATATATGTAACTGGCAGTGGCCACACAATGACAGGACAGAACTATGAGTGAGTGCTGTGTCAACAAGTATCAAGATGGATATGCATTTCAGTTCATATGGCCATGTGTTAATATTCCTATGGTTTTCTGTTCAGGTATGGACCATTTTGGATCTGCACAACCTTAACATTTGTGGCAGCTTCGATTGGCACATTTGTTACCTACGTGGCACACAAGCTACAGAAAAAAGAATGGAACTATGACGTAAATTTGGTGACTTGGTCCGCTGGTTTGTTCTATGGTTATGTCACTGTTGTTCCTGTTGGATTGTATATAATCCTCAAATACTCCTCCGTCCCTTCTGGCCTCGTTCAGCTGTTCTGCCTCTATGGCTACTCGCTGTTTATCTTCATTCCCGCTTTGGTAAGGTTTATCACTCTCAGTTTTTTGCTCTTTGCTCCTTTCAAAACTTGTGTGGTTTACATGCTTATTATGGAAATCAATGATAGAAGGTAGATTTTGGCGGTGTATTATCATTCAAGCTATATCATAAAATCCAAATACTTCAAACTGCAGTTACCATAGGAGGCATGTTAGTATGAAATTGGGCAATGCATCCCAGTGAATTTGATGTCTTGAAGCCTGTGTCCATTGATTAAGCCACAAAATAAAAAATATAATTTGTTAACTCAGGATTCAAAAGTTGCCATTAACCACAATTCATGATTTCATACTCAATTGTTACTCTCTATTTACCCTCTATTTTTTTGATTTTAATTATTTCAATTATTTATATTTAATATAACAAATAATACACGTGCATAATGTGTGCCTCAACTTATAATCTTAAGATTTGTCATTAAATTGAGTGTTAGTCATTCATTGTGATACATTTTTAGCTTGCAAATTTCATATGTATGTCCAATGTATTTTCCAATGCACGAGGTGGTATTTTGTGTGACTACACAACATGCATGCGAGAGAAAGTGAAACACCACCATGGGGTCCCCATAATACAAAAGACTCTCCCAAATATCTTTTGGAGGCTCGGATAAAATATTCGATGCTTTATGGTCAGAAGTATCTTTTGTAGAAGTCAACACCACATTGTTTAAACATCAAATTTTTCTTGAATTTTAAGATAGGAACTTGTTTGCTTACTGAAAAAATTCTCACTTCGATTATTGTTGCAGTGTCTATCTGTTGTTCCTTTGGAACTGTTCAGATGGGTGGTTGCTGGTGTAGCAGGGTTCATGTCGGCAACCTTTGTTGCACTCAATCTCCGAAACCATATCAAGTCTGCCGGTGAAAGGTGGTTCTTGATTGTGACCGGGATCTTTCTGTTGCAGCTGGCTCTATCCATTGTACTAAAGCTTTATTTGTTCACCATCACAGTCTGATAATAATATAGTATATCATTGAGCAGCTCGGACTTTTTGCTATAGTTAACATAGAAAGGCCTTTCTTGCCCCATGATTTTTTGTCATTTAAACTTCCATAGATGTATTATTCATCATTTAAATCCAATTATATTGATTCATTTTTGGGAATATATACAATTAGATCCTAAATTCATATAATATAGTAATTAGGCATACCTATTTTTTCGTATTTCGGCTTGTGAGCTTTCTAGTTTTTAGTCCTCCGCTCTTTCACTTGAAAGTAGATGTTTATAAAGTAACTTGGTTTGCCTATGGAAAATCAAAGCTGAAATAACACTGTTAATGAAAAAGGCAAATTACACTTTTACCCTCACTAATCAACATAAAATAAAGGAAAAACAAGACAAGAAAAACTTTGAGAACACCCTTAGTTTTCCAAAAAAAAAAACATTTTTCAAAAACAATTCCAATTTGTACAAAACTATCATAATGTTCATCCCAACTGGAAAATATTACATTACAATGATCAGAAGTTACAACAACTGATGCATTTCTTAGGTCACAAATTACATAAACCCAGTTTCCATGCACTTCAAAAAAAAAAAACAAACCAAAAATCCATACATCAATTCAACATAACAAGATACACCAATCCCAACAACTCAAACATCAAGTAGTGACTCAAGCAAACCCTAGAAACCAAATCGGCTGAACTTACAAGGCTTCCAACGGGGGTGTTCATGCTCAAGACAACCACCCCAAGCCAACTCTGGTATACTTGGAATTATTAAGATAGCTCGAATATTGGGATTGCGTGTAGTTCATGAGGACTAGGGTTGGAACACAAACTAGCAATATTTTTTTTTTGATCGGCAACACAAACTAGCAATATGACCCCATCTATCGTGGTGTTAATGTTTATATCGCATTTTTTCAAAAGATCAGGATAATTAGCGATTTGGGCACCGGACATGGTTGCTAGGGCTGGTGGTAGTGGTGATGGTGGTGGTGCAAGGTTGGTCCTCGAGTTGGTCGGCTATTTCATCAGCAAGGCAATCGGCTTTGTCATTCTTTGTGAGGGGTGGGCGGTTTAAGGATTGCCTATAATTGTTAATGCCTTGAAGAAGATTGTCTACCATAAACGGGCCAAATACCAAAAAGTTTAGGAGTACAGAGAATGAGACACGGAAATTAAACACAAAAACTGTTCATCGATTGATCGCCTGGACGACCTGATAGAGCTTGTCGACCGCGGCTATCATGGTATCGACCATGGCTATCAAGGTTGTTAACCACAACTGTCATGTGTACACCGCGACTGTCATGGTGTCTTTCAGTCGTCTGGGCGGACGAGCGGTGAACAATATTTTGTGTTTGGCATCTGTGTCTCACCCTCTGCATTGCTGGGACAAATACATACAAATCTCTAGTAAATAGTGAAATTACATGTGATCTATTATCTACTCGATAATGAATTATTAACCACAAACTAATCTAAAAATTTAAGCAGAGAGAGACAATTTGATTATTTATATACAAAATTAAGATTTAGTCTAGATTCTGGTCATCTACATTTCATGGATGAAATGAAAATTTCCATTTCATTTCAAAATCAAAGAAAATGTGTAAAAAATTATGTACCACAAATAGTATATCAAACATAAATTGTGTTTTCATTTGAGATTTCTTTTTTATGTTAATAATGAAACTGAAAATACACAATCATTCATTAAAAAAAAGGATACATTACAAATACACCTCCTAAGATTTACTTAAATTACAAATTATTCCTGTAGTTCTAGAAATTACATTATGCCCCTTAAGATTTCTAATTTCATAACAAATAGGTTATTTTATTAATAAATCATTAAGTTAATTAACAGTTTTTAATAATATTAAAATTTTATTTCAATTAATAATTTAGATAATTTTATTATTACATAGGTGAACAGTTAAAAATTTCACTTTTTCAATTAATTCTGTTAAATAAAAAATTCTGACAGAAAGATATTTATAATTTTTCAAATCACATGAGACAATTCGTATTTTAAATAAATTTCAAAGGTACATTTATAATTTACCCAAAAAATATATAATCTTGACCATACATAGCAAATGTGAACCCGTCCAGAAAGAGATTGCTCTGCTTCTAGACCAAAGTACTGATTTAGTATATCTTTCCGTCCATTATTTGTATGTAAAAGTAAAATTCAAGAAGTCACTTTGTACTAAGAGTTGAATTTTTGGCCAAATTAGCTCTGACCTTACTTTTTGAGCGGTAGGATATACCACACGACTATAAGATGTACTCGGTATATAAAATAATTTTTACTTATACTTGATATATAAAATATTTTTTTACTTATATTGCTCAAATTGTGTCGATTTTTTCTGTAAAATTATTTTGAGAGAGAGAGAGTTGTTGAATTCACCCCATGTAAAGGAGGTGTCTCTCTTCCATGGGAACACACACAAAGGTCAAGGAAGGAGGCTACCAACCATGTCAAAGAAGGAGGCTGCCGAAGTCAAGCATGGAGGCTGCCCAAAGGCTCTCCCACCTACTCCCTCACCTATAAATGGAGGTTGAGAGGAGAGAGCAAAATGTGGAGTAAGTGAGGAAGAAAACCGTGAACCAAAGAGTGCGAGAGATGTGAGGCGGAGAGACCGTCTCCCTCGGTGTGAGCGAGGGAGACGGGTGAGTGGCTGAGTGAGGAGAGTGTGAGCTCCTCCTCTATTGTAATCTTTCTGTAATCTCCTCATTGGTATAGTGATAACCGGTTACTCTCCCGTGGACGTAGGCATTGGGCCGAACCACGTAAAATATTGTGTCTCCTTGTGTGTGGGTGTGTTTTTCTGCTTGCAATGATTTCTATAAGGTCTTGGGCGGGATCCCAGATCCCAACAAGAGTACCATCAGAATAGACTGGATTAGATAGCAAGAAGAGGAAGCACAAACAGGAGGAGAGGAAGCTGAAGAGATGAAACCATTGTGCTTGTTTCTGAATATCTAACCCAACTGTAAGAGATGAAACCATTGTGCTTCTTTCTGAATATCTAACCCAACTGTAAGCTATATAGCTTGCTAGAATCTAGAATAATTAGAGAAGGAGATTGCTCAATAAAAAGAATGTTTTCTTGTTATATAACAAACCTTCATACGTATATGTATATATTTATGTTCATATTTTGTTCATGTTCTGTTTTGGGTGTGAAGGTGTGGTTTCAACAGCTACCACTTGGATGCATGGCCTTTACACGTGGCAAACATGCAAAGCAAATGAGTGAGGTCAAACTTTACATGTAATCTCCCCACTTTGCTCAACTTAGTTTCTTGGGAAAGTTAAATAATTCAAATGTGAAATATAAAAAATAATTATAAATATGTGGGGTGTAATTTTTTAGGGTGAAATATTAATAAATCTTAAATTAGTGACTTGTGCACTATTTAGTCTTACATATTTTCTTTTAAACCAAAAAGTCCTGAGATGATTGAAATGTCACATTCGGCCTTCATCTGCCGTGTGTTTATGTTTTAATTAGAGGGTAATGTTGGTTTTGTGTAATTTTGAATTTACTTTTGTGGACATCGAGCGCACTATAAGGTTTTTTTAGTTTTTCCTCGTCTTTGATTGAATCTTTTAGACTGTATAAAGAAACATTGGTGATGACAATTTCCACATTTGAACATTGCTATGTGTTATTGTTAAAACCCTAAATGTGGGTTTTGAATCTACGAATATAAATAGCACGAAGTCCACATTGGCGTTTCGGGAGGAACCCTAAATCGAGAGGAAATCAACACTGCTTATCCCAACTACTGCCATCATTGACTGCGATTGTAACAACCCACATTTTATGGCCAAGTCATGTATGCATGCATTTATATGTTTTGCCATGTTAAGATTGCTGTAACAACCCATATTCGTGTCAATAGTCATATCCAAGTTCATTTACATAGTTTGTCTTGTTAGGTTTGCATTCATGAATCGTGTCTTGCTTTGTATCTATGTGATTCGGCTAAGTGTTGCTGCATGCTTTGCTCCTTCCTTGATGTTATGCCTAAGTTATGTTAGCCGAAGTTATGCCAAGCCTAGGTTATGTTAAGCCTAGATCATTCCAAGCCGAGGTCATCTTCAGTCTAGAAGTATCTTGGAACCCCTTTGTTTGACCTCCACCTTCGCCCCGGCATATTGGCCGAGATGTCATTGTCTAGGCCGAGGTGTGAATCACCAAGGCCGAGATGTGTATCATCTAGGCCGAGATGTTACCTTTGCACCTGAGTGATCTTGTCTCGGAGTGGTATGACCTAGACCAAGGTGTGGCACATCTAGGCCAAGGTGTGGCACAGCTTAGTCAAGTGTTGTCCTTCCTAGCCGAGGTCATTGTCACCTTAGTTGCCAAAGCCTTGTCCTTAGCCGATGTCACCACTTGCCGGAGTGCCATACCGAGTAGCTTGTTAGATACGCTTTGTCATAGTCTTGTCTTGTCAACCTATCACCTTTTTGAAGAGAACCAACTAGCCGTTGTCACGTGTCCGAGCTGAGAACTAAGTCAGCCGATAGAGAGAGAGAACCCATCATTTTGTTGTATACTTGTTTTGAAGAAGAGAGAGAAGCTCTAGGAGAGGAAGAAGAGTTCTTGAGAGAGAGTGGATTTCTAAGCTTGATTTCTAGAGATCGAACCGTTAGATCCGCGTTCTAAGGTTAGATTCTTAATCTGCTCTCGTCGTTTTTTATGTTTATGTTATTGCATTGCATGATTGAACATGATTTGTAAGCCATGCATTGCTTTGAAATTCGGTTTTAGAAAGAGAAAATAGCATTCATGTGTTCTTCAAGAAAAGTCATGTTTTGATCCGAAAGCTCTTGCCCAGATTCATGTTTTTGTGTTTGTTTTCATATGATTTTCAAGTATGGGTGCCCAGGTCCATGTTTTCGAACTCATAGCATGAAATCCCAGATTTTGTAAATAAAGAAGTTATGATTTTAGTATCCATGTTCTTCATGATCTCCATGTTCATGTTCTTCCTGTTCTTCACGGGTGGAAACCCAGATCTCCAGACCTCACTTCCCGAGATGTAGTCGCCGAGATCACTCTTACCTAGACCTCACACTTAGGCCGAGCATCGTATCTCACCTTGGCCTACCTTGCATGATCACTTACACCTTTAGTTTGTCTTGTGCG